CTTAAGAGTTCCATGAAACTAAAAATTTACATTTTCTGTGCCTTTAATCAAAATTTTTCAGAAAAATCCACACAGAAATGAGTTGTTTAAAGGACATGAAAGGTGTTTCGGCAAAAAACAAAAATTTGATAAAAATTCACAAAAAATGCCAGTTTCTTCACTTTGATTATTTTGACGAGAGTCTGATTCCACCACGCTGCCTCACATATACAGTGCCTTTCCCAAGGACTCAAAGTCAGACCAAGCTCAGGCTCGAACCCCCGAACCCACCATAATAAGATTACCGTAAAAAGCAAGTGTCGGTGACGCGTAGGATTTAGGTGGGTGATCACTGGAGTGTTCTTTCTGTATTGGTGTAATATTAATTGTGCATTCATGTATGAATTTATGAATGTTTGCATTTATAAAATCATGTATTTATGTATAAGTATGTTTGCCATTGTAACCAAATTTCGTCACAGGGATCTGTAAAACGTGATTTTGATTTATTATTTCATTACGGAACTACTAGGCTACGGACGCCACTCACTGTGTTATGACACTTTGTTACTTTTCCAGGTTCGGCTGGTGGTCGGCGCGGAAGCGGCTGTGCTGCCTGGCACGTCCATCATCATGAGGTGTCCAGTTAGGGGCATGAGCAAGAGACGCCTGGAGTGGCTCAAGAATGACCGGCCCGTCAGAAAAGGTCGTAGGGTCACCATCTCTAACAGGTGAGCAGTTGCTGATGTGTGCATGATTATGTGAGGCATCGTGGTGAAATCAGGCGCTCGTCAAAATAAAGAAATCTGAGAAACGGGCATTTTTCTACCAGTTCGGAAATTTTTATCAAATGTTTTTTTTTTTAGCTGAACCCCTTTTATGTCCAAATAAAAACACATTTACGTGCTAATTTTACTGTAAAACGTAGAATAAAGGCACAAAATATGTCATTTTTCAGTTTTCACGACTCTTTAGCTATTGGAGTTACCTGTGTTATGCACACCTAATTTATTAAGATAGTTTCGAACCTTGACCTGCGTCATACACACCTCATTTACTAAGATAGTTTCTGACCTTGACCTATGTTATACAACCTCATATATTAAGTCTCTTTGTGACCTTGACCTGTGTCCAGGGGTAACTTGCGGATCCGCCGTAGTCGGCCAGACAAGGACACGGGAGTCTACACATGTATCGCTGACACAAAGAAAGCCTCTGTGACCATTGTCTTCTCTGCGCTCTATGACATCCTCCAAGTGAGTTTTTTGGCTTTGTTGTTAAACTGCTTAAAGGAGTGACATTCTTTTGCAGCAAGGATGGGCAAATTTTTCTGATTACGGATCACTTCGACGATGCCATGAACAAAATGTTGTAATTAAACATAGTGCTCTAGATAACTTTTTTATAAAACAGCAAAAAAACAAACCAGGAAAGAGCCAAAGCACACACA